AGGGCCCCTCTCTCACCAGCAGGCTGGGCCTCTGGACTGCCCTTGTGCCCACCGGCCCTGCGTGGGAGGTGAGAAGGGAGTGAGGCGCGTCCTCCAGGAGACAGTGAGTCACTCTTCCCCGCCTCGCTGTGAGCACGTTTCTTCTGCGTTGATTAGCTCTATAATTAGGAGGCGCTTTCCTTCCTGCCTGAACAGAGGAGGGGCTGCAAGGAGCCAGAGGGACTGCTGGGTGAAAGCCTGTCCCCCACTCCCTGCAAGGGGCTGCTGCTCCAAGGAGTCAGAGGGGCTAGTGTAGGGTGCAAGCCTGTCCCCAACTCCCTGCAAGGGGCTGCTGCTCTTCCAGGTGGGGGTTGCCACAGACGTTGGTCTGGCACACTGGCTGGCCCCAGCCCCGTCTGTGCCTACATCCCCGGGGAAGGGGGCGGGTGCTTCCTGAGCCCTTCACAGGGTCTGCTGCCTCGAGATGGGTCTGATGCAGCCGGCAGCAGCTGAGGCAGGAGAGAGGCTCCCCGTGCTTCCTGGAAGTCTGTGGAAGATGCCAGTGCCTCTCCTGCCCCCGAGACCAGTTAAATTAGAGTTGTTGGGGTGGGGGTCAGGCACGGTGTCTTTGAAAAGTCGCCACGTGGTGCTGGTGTGCACGTACTACAGCCGAGGGCCTGCCCTGGTTTGTTTATTGATTGATTGATTGAGGCAGGCTCTGGTTCTGTTGCCCAGGCTGGAGTGCAGTGGTATGATCATGGCTCACTGTAGCCTCAACCTCCTGGGCTCAAGTGATCCTCCTGACTCAGCTCCCCAAGTAGCTGGAACCACAGACATGTGCCACCACACCTAGCTAACTGTTTTTTGAATTTTAGTAGAGACAGGGGTCTCTATGTTACCCAGGCTTGTCTCCAACTCCTGGGTTCAAGCGATCCACCCACCTCGGCCTCCCAAAGTGCTGGGATTACAGGCATGAGCCTCTGTACCCGGCCCCTGCCCTGGGTTAGCCAGTGCAGCTTACCTGGAGGCTGAGGCTCTCACACAGGTGGGCTTCCCGGGCCTTCCATTCACCTGCACATGATTCATCTGGTGTCTTGCTCAGCAGCAGATGTGACCCAGCAGGCCTGGCCTGGAACTTGAGATCTGCACTTTGACAAGCAACAGGTCATGCTGTAGCTGCAGGTCCAGCAGCCACACTTGGAACTGAGAGGCTGTAGGGGAAGGGTCTAGAACTCTAGTGTGCAGCTGAGCTACCTGAAGGGGGAGCACGGGGCCCAATCCCACCAGTTTCTGGCTCAGGAGAAGGTGCTGCTCCTGCTTCGGGGACCACACCTGGCCTTAGAGCATCCATGCAGGGTCTGGTTCTCTGGGGTCAGGGTGGCCTGCTCTGTCCAGGCCAGCCCCAGCTGGACTTGGGGTGGAGGTGATGGTTCCCACAAATGCTGGTTGAGCAAGCTGGCCCGCCACAGCCCTGTCTCTGCCTAGCCCTGGGGGGGCTTCCTGAGCTCTCCACAGTGCTCAGACACAAAGGGCCAGTGTGTCTGGAATAAGCAGTGCTTCCTGTGTGGGCTGGAGAGGTGCTGAGCAATCATGCTGGTGGGAGTCAGCTCCAGGGGGCGAGGAGCCACCTGGTGCCCAGCACCTTACACAGGGGCTCCTCTGATCCTCCCTGCAAACCCCTAAAGTAGTGCTCCCTGTGCCCATTTTATAGACAAAGAAATTAAGGCTCCGAGGGTTTGAGGATCTTGATACAGCCAAGACAGGTGGTGGAGCCAGGCTCAGACTTGGGCTCCCTGCCTGCCCCTGCTGCTTGCTCGGTGTGAATCCTGGCACTGCTGCCCTCTGGCTGTGACCTGGGGCAGTTACTGAGCCCTCATCTGCGTAAGGGAATAAAGGGTTCTCTGGGAGCATAGCGGGTGATTGTGAGGAGTAACTGGGATTCTTCAACTCTAGCATTGCCGTTTTCAGTGTTCAGCACCCTGGCCATCACTGTATCATGATCGCTATTGCTGTGACTGGAGCCAAGGGCCCAGTGTGCAGTTCTTCCCTGGGAATGGGCCGCCTGGGGGTAGACACAGCTGTTCAGATACACAGGTTTGCAGTTGCACATCGAAGTGCCTATCCCTGCTGTTGGGGCGAGGAGGAAGCAGGTGCAAGAACAAGTGACCTCAGGACTGCGTGGGGGTGGCCAGCAGGGGACCCCGCAGGGGAAGTGCTGTCATCATCACCATTTCACAGCTGGGAAGGTCGAGGGCTGGCCAGAAGCACCCAGGAACAAGGAGTGGGCCTGTTGCGGGGCCAGGATTCCTGCCCGGGAAAAGCCATGTAGTGAACCTGCCTCTCCACTTGGCACTGAGCCCTGGAGACCCTCCTCGAAGTGCTCCATGGCTGGGCAGGGTGGGCCCTGCTAGGCTTGAGCTTTCGGGGGTAGAGGCTCATGGGGCATCCCCCAGACCTGCAGGGTCTTGGTTTAAAACTGTTGAATGCAGGAGACCTAGCACTGGGCCATGTCCCCAGGTGGGTCTCCAGGTAGGCAGGACAGAAGGAACCCAGAGCACCCCACCTCTCAGGTCAGTACGGCTCCACACGGGCCCCCTCAGGCTCTGCTGACTCCCCGAAAGGATTGTGAGCATGTGCAGAACCCCTGCTTGCCTGGGACATCCCTGCATGCTCCTCGTCCAGGCCCCCACCCTCGAAGGTGACCTGCTCCCATGTGGCCTTCCCAGCCCCTCTCTGGCTGCTGACCAGTGGGCTGGGTCCCCAGGCTGGTTCCTCAGCTCCTAGGCAGGTCTCCCGGCTCTGAGGCAGGTCTCTCTGAAGGCTGGACGTGGAGTGGCCTTGCCCTGTGGGGGATTGGCTGGGGCTGAGTTTGTGGGGTGTCAGAGTGCATCCCCCACATACTACCTCCTGATCAGAGCAGCCTGCAGTGGGAGAGGCCAGTGGCATGGCAAATGCCCTCTCTGATGACTCCAAGAGCTTGGGGTGAGGAGGCCCAACTGACCAAGGTTACCACCTGCTGGTCACCTTTTGAACCCAGAACTGTAATCTTGGGGAAGTTGTCTCAGAGTGCATTGGCCTCAGGTAAGATGCCTGAGATAGTGCTGAGCAGCTGTAGGCAACAAGGAGTCTGTGAGCCCACCTTCATGACTTCATTGCACAAATGGTCACTGAGTGCCACCCTGGGCCAGCAATAGGACACACAGGTGAATGATACAGCCACTTCTGGCTTTGTGGGTCAACAGTCTAGGTTAAACCCAGGGAGTCTTCCTGGAGGTGGTGACACCTAGGCTGGACTTGGAACTCCTGGAGTTTCCTTAATTGAGTTCCTTCCCACTGTGCCTCAGTTTCACCATCTGAAAAATGAAGGATTGGCTCACATCAGTGGTTCTTGGGCTGGAGTAGAGGGTGTGTTGGAGTACAGAAGCAGCCACCCTGAGCTTCTGACCAGCAGGTCTGGGGCTAGGCCTGAGAATGTGCATTCTAACTTGTGTGAGGCACCACTGCTGGCCTGAGTTTGAGGGGAGCATTGTGTGAGTCTGAACCATGACCTCCCTGCCCTGGAGTGGGGACAGCACTGAGCCTGGGGGCCTGGAGATTCCACCCAGCCTCATTGTGGGGCCTTTGGTTGCGTTCTTGCTCTCCTTGCTAAGGATTTTCTAAGAATTCCAAGGAAACCTTTAGGCGTTCGGTGGGAAAACCAGTGTCATCTGGGCCGGATGCCCTTTTTTCCCTGGTGGCAGGGACAGGGACGTGCTGTGTGTGTGTGTATGGGGGGCGGGCAGCGGGCAGGTGGTCCACTCTCTGCTTGTAAGGTCCCTACAGGGCAGGGGCCCACGGTCCTGTCATGGCACTGAAGTAATCATGGCAACATGCTCTGCCCAGAGGGGAAACTAAGGCCAAAATGGCAGGAGGGCCTGGCTCCTCCACCTGACCTCAGCTGCTGGCACCTGTGCTGCCTTCCCTTGAGGGCCAGGAGGGTGAGGCTGGCTCTGTGTGCAGACAAGGCCATAGGCAGGCCACCCCTGGCTCTCAGGCTGGCAAATGCTGTATTGCCCAGTCTCCACTTGGCTTCTCCCAGGCATGGTTGGCTGTCTGGGACACTGGGGAAACAGGCCCAGAGGGCTTCAGACTCCCTTAGGCTTCACAAGAACTCCCAGCTGCAGGGTGTGGTGAGACCCTGAGTCCCATCACAGCGGGCCATGCCATGGAGGACAGTCCCAGTGTGGGCACCGAGTCCTCCAGGAGGCCCAGCTGCTCAGACATCTGCATCTCAGGAGCATTCAGATTCACTCAAAGCCAGTTCCAGATCTCTCTCCAGCCCCGCCCACCTCATATTGGTCAGCCGCTCGGCCCCAGACCTTCACCATGTGGAGTGGCCCTGCTCACCACTCCTGCTACCACCTGCCTGAGCAAGCTCTCCCTGGGCTGTGGCAAGACCCACCGTCCACGCGGCAGCCACCACAAGTCAGACCACTGTGCTCAGAGCCACAGGCTCCCACCTCACGAAGCAGCACATGCAGCCTGTGTGTCCGGCCCTGAGTCCTCAGACTGCCCTCCCAGCTCCCGGCTGCACACATCTCTGGGTCAGGACCTCGGCACCCGCTGTCCCTCATGCCTAGGGTGTTCCTTTCTTATCCTGGGAGCTGCGTGGCTAGCCCCATCAGTTGTTCACAGCCGTCTCACCCCAGGCGGCCCTGACTGCCCACCGAGGGCTCCCTGTCCCTCCTCAGACGATTTCTCCAGAGTTTCTCTTCTCTGCTGGCTCTGAGTGTCCAGGGCCCTGGAATGAGGCCTGGCCCGCAGGGAGCTGAAGACACAGTGATCAGATGTGCAGCAGCTCGGGGACCACTGAGGAGCCCGCCTGCCCCTGCCCTGGGATGGGGGTGCCCTCTGCCAGTACTGCTGTGCCCCTGCCACGCACCCCTGTGCACATGCATGCAGGCTGCGGGCTGCCTGGCAGGAGGGTCTGTGGAGCTGTGGAGGCGCCTTTGATGCCTCATGTCCTTGCTCTTTTCTCCCAGGAAACTATGCCCCAGACGTCCGTTGTCTTCTCCAGCATCCTTGGGCCCAGCTGTAGTGGACAGGTGCAGCCTGGCATGGGGGAGCGTGGAGGCGGGGCCGGTGGTGGCTCCGGGGACCTCATCTTCCAAGATGGACGCCTCATCTCTGGGTCCCTGGAGGCCCTGATGGAGCACCTTGTTCCCACAGTGGATTATTACCCCGATGTGAGTACGTGGGGCCTTGTGGAGTGAGACTAATGGGGTGACCTGGGCTCCAGCAGATGTCAGGTGTGGGAGGGAGGCCCCCACAGAGTGGTAGAGCTGGATGGGGCTGCAGGAGGGGCAGGGCAGTGGAGGGCCCAGGCCCACCTCCAGGGCCTTCCCTGTCTTCTGCTCTGCATACACCCCCAGCTAGCAGGGGGCCTGGGGGAACCTGCTGTGACTTCCCTGCTGCTGCCCCAGGCAGGAGGAGATGATTCTGGGGACATGGGAAGCAGAAACACACAAGGGCCGAGCAAGGCCCTGAGTTCTGAGCAGGGCCTCCAAGGAGGAAGAGGAGTTTTAAAGGGCAAAGCCAGCACTTGGGGTCCTGGTGAGGGCACGCCCAGCCCAGGTTCTGGAGCCTAGGGCTGAGCTGGGAAGCTGGTTTGTACATAAACCCTGGTGGTCCAGAATGAAGAGGAGATGGCCCGGCTTGCCGTGCCCTGTCAGCAGAGCACTGTTCAGGCTGACTCGGGGACTGTTCCTAGGCAACAACCCTAATCCTCCCTTTTCACCTCAAGGTGGCATGATACAGTCTTGGAACAGAAAGCGTTCCCTTGTCAAGTGTGGCTTCCCTCCCCCTGGAGGGTGATGTCTCTTAGCAGCAGTGGCACTGGGCCTGCCAGCTCCCTCTTGTGAGCTGAGCATTTACCCTCTGGGAGGGCCAGTCCTGCCCACGTCATGCTACCCCCTCTCCCTCCCTGCCCTGCTAGTCAGCCTGGGAGTTAGACAGCTTGCAGGGAGGTGGGCGGGAGGGATGCTGCCCTCTAGCTTCCAATGAACGGGGCTGCAGTCAGCCTGGCTTCACCACCTGCCAGGCTTCCTCTGCCTTCTGGGCTTTGGGTGAGGGGGCCTTGCCTTTCTGTTGCCCACTTCTCCTCCTCCTCCATCTGTCCTTCTGTCCGTCCTGTAAGCCCTGTCAGGGTTTGGCTGGGGCTGGAGACGGCAGTGCAGACAGGCTAGTGAGTGCTCACAGGGCAGAGCCAGGGGAGAGGCCCAAGGCCCTGAAGTAGTCCAGGGCAGGACCGTCTGTGGGACATGGGCCTCATGCCGCAGCTGGAGAAGCCACCCCTCTCAGAGGCCTACCCCAGAGGAGCCAACTTGGCAGTCACCCAGTGTGGTCCCTGTGCCCTGGGATCTGACCAGCTTCCCAGGAGAGGACAGAGGGATGGCAGTGGCAGGAGAGTCCAGTTGGGCATTGGCTCCTCTGCTGAGCATCTACCCCTCCCCCACCACCCCACCGTTCCCCATGTGCACGGGTAGCTGAACACACTCACATATGCACACACACACACACACACACACGGTCTCCCTGCTCCTCCTTGGAGATGCACAGGCTCTCCCCTTGGGTGCCCTGCCCTTGGCCAAGAGCTCCATGGCGGGCCTTTCCTCCACATCTGGGTTGTCTCCTTAGAAGGTGGACCCTGAGAGATGTGCTGGCTCTGACCCCCCAAGTCCCCATGCTGCACAGCCTGGGGCAGGGCATGGGAAGTTTGCAGGATGTTGGAGGAGTCCCCGGTGCTCTAGGGGGGGCTGCGGTGGGCAGTGCCAGCCCAGGCCCCTGAGTCCTGCTCCAGGAGGCCTGTACTCTCAGCAAATACAACCTGGCTTGCTTCTGGCTAGGGCAAGAAAAACCGGGTTATTTGGGCTGGGAGTAGGGGCAGAGGCTCCTGGGCAGCCCAGCCTGCAGCAGCCACGTGGGGCAGAGTCCCTCTAGGGAGTCCCAGGCAGTCTCCCTGACCTGCAAGTCTACCCTGTCCACAAGCAGGAGCCAAAGTGAAGTTCCCACAGACACTGACCCTCATTAGACAAAAGGCCCAAGAATCCAGCCCATGAGGATCTCGATGGAGGGCATGTGGATGTGGTATGGAGGGGCCCTGCTCCGGCAGTCAGGGTCTAGGCCCAGAGCTGGTCAGAGAGTGCAGGGACCCCCACCACCATTGCTTCTCAGGCCCCGCCCCTGCTGATGGGGCTTCGGCCCTGCCGATGAGGCCCCGCCCCATAGATCAGCCCTGCTCCCGATAGGCCCTGCTCCTGTGCTAACCTCCCTGCATACCCCACCCTCCCCACCGCTGACCTCCAGCCCGGCCCACGAGGATCTGAAGAAGCAGCTGGCTTGCATCCTGGCGCAGCGAGCCCCATGGAGCCCTACCAACGTCCTAGGCTGGGGTTAGCCCTATGGTGGCTTGGGGCAGAGAGGGGGAGAATCCCAGTGGAGGAAGGCTGCTAGGAGCCCTAGGAGAGCTGCTGGGAGGCGGGGCTCGAGCTGTGCCTCCTAGGTAGGCAGGGCCGAGGTAGCAGTAAGAGGAGGAAGGGCCTGCAAGGCGAAGGGAACCGGGCAGGCGAAGGCATGGCCGCCGGAGGGGCGGTGCTGGGCCTGGGAAGCAGCCGGGCCAGGTGAAGCAGCGCGGTGAGCCCCCGGGGGGCCTGCTTCCGCCGAGCCTCACCCTCCCTCCGCCCTCTCTCCGTCTCCTGCCTTCAGAGGACGTACATCTTCACCTTTCTCCTGAGCTCCCGGGTCTTTATGCCCCCTCATGACCTGCTGGCCCGTGTGGGGCAGATCTGTGTGGAGCAGAAGCAGCAGCTGGAGGCCGGGCCTGAAAAGGTGATCTGGGGCCTGGCTGGGGCAAGGGCGGGGGCAGGGGGCGGAGGTGAGGTCAAGGCTAGGGGCTGGGGCGTGGCCTCGTTGGGGCAGGGGGCGGGGTCAGGGCTAGGGTTGGGCGTGGCCTAGCTGGGGTTGTAGGGTGGGGTCCAGGGTAGTACCAGGGGGTGGGGTCATGGCTGGCGTTGGGGCGTGGCCTGACTGGGGCGGTGTGGTCTCGGGGCAGGGTCACGGCTAGGGTTAGGCATGGCCTGGCTGGGCTGGCGGGGCCTGGGGGCGGGGTCAGGGCTAGGGTTGGGGCGTGGCCTGGCTGGGGCTGTGGGGCGGGTCTGAGTTGGGGAGTGGCGCCACACCAGGCTGGGGTGAGGTCTGGAATGGAGCTGTGGGTTGGGTTAGGGGCGTGGTGGGAGGGGGAGGCCGGAGCCGGCAACGTGGGCGTAATCCCGTGGTTTGGAGGCTGTGCGACGTGGGCGAAGAAAGCTGCAGGGCTGCGGACTGTGTGGTGCAGGGGCCGGGGGCGAGGTCCAGCGGTCTGAGTGGGCTGGTGTGGGCTGGCGCAGTCTTTGTGGGCGCAGGAGGGGCTTGGCCTGTGGTGCGTTCTGGGGCATTGGAGGTTGGGGGCGCGGCGACTGAGCCTCGGGCACAGTCCCTCCTCCATGGGGGTTGAGGCCCCTCCATGGGGGTTGAGGCAGCGCGGGCATCTTCCGAGAGGGTCGAAGTCGTTTCAGCCAAGAGGGCCAGTCCCCATGCTCTAGGCCCTGTGCTGGGTGGGGTCGTGCGTGCCTGTGGACTAGGGCGCGGGGGCGCGTCGCCTCTCCTCAGGGTCACACCCCTTTCAGCGCTGTCGCCCTACTTTCAACCGCGGGGGGCAGACGGGAGCTCTCTAAGTGGATGGCTTGGCTTGGGTTATTTTACTGTATTGTTTTTATGGGTGACTTCTCATTATAGCAAATGGAATTAGTTTTTTGTCACCTTATAGATGGGGTAGGTTTTTTGAATGTAAGTTTATTTAAGTGAAAAGAAAGCCAACTTAAGGGGAAGGAAGAAGGAACCAAACAGGAGTCCTGTGGTGGTTCAGGTCTGGCCAAACTGCAGGTGGCACGCAGTTGGGGGCTGTGCCCAGCACAGGCCCTGGGGTGTGGCTCCGGGATGTGGGAAGCTTGCACAATTTACCATCTTGTCCTCTGCTCTGCCCTGTGGGGCCTCACTCTGTATCCTCTGCTGCCCCAGGCCAAGCTGAAGTCCTTCTCAGCCAAGATTGTGCAGCTCCTGAAGGAGTGGACGGAGGCCTTCCCCTATGACTTCCAGGATGAGAAGGCCATGGCCGAGCTGAAAGCCATCACACACCGTGTCACCCAGTGCGACGAGGTGAGTGCTCCCTGGGCTCTGGTCAGGGTCCTTGGGTGTGTGTCAGGGTCTGCCCTTGGGAGGGTGGGGGCTTCGGGGATAATTCTGTATGTGGTCCCCTTCCATGTTACTCCCCCAGGAGAGTTGCTGGGTGGCCCCATTCAACCTCCCTTCCCCCAGATGACAGCTCAGCTGTCCAGCAGTGGGCCAGGGTCACTCATGATACTGCACACAGGGACCTTGCAGCCCAGTTGCAGGCCTGGCGATCATTGCCTCGACCCTCTCCTGGCCCTTGCTGTTCTTGTCCCTGGAGTGGGAGCCTATTGAGAGTTTGTAAGGTTCTGCCTGTCCTGGATTAGTGAGAGGAGGTGGCGGTAAGGCTTTAAATAGGCCTCCCATTTTTCAAATGTCTTCACCCTTGCCTTTGGTGGAGAGAGAACTGGAGATGCTTGGGCCAACTGGGCCTCCACAGTAGAAGCATTCCCTGTGCTTAGCAGCTCCTGTTCACCCAGAGTACTCCAGGAGGAGCCAGGGATCCCAGGCTGCCCCCACCTAGGGGGCAGAGACTCCTGGCTTTGGCAGAAGCCTTTCCCATGCCTTGAACTGTTCTATGGGCCGCTACTGCTGCAGGAAGCACCTCAGTGGGCAGCCTCTGAAAAAGTCATGCTTTTCAGACCCAAAAGCTCAGCCTTGAGCCTGTCTCTGCCCTTAGCCTCAATCTGGTCAGGCACATCCCTGGAGGTGAGATGGATCCTACCCACAGTGGTGGTGGCCTTGCTGCCAGCCCATGCTGGCACCCTTATTGCCCTCAACCCCACAGGAGAATGGCACAGTGAAGAAGGCCATTGCCCAGATGACGCAGAGCCTGTTGCTGTCCCTGGCCGCCCGGAGCCAGCTCCAGGAACTGCGCGAGAAGCTTCGGCCACCGGCTGTAGACAAGGGGCCCATCCTCAAGACCAAGCCACCAGCCGCCCAGAAGGACATCCTGGGCGTGTGCTGCGACCCCCTGGTGCTGGCCCAGCAGCTGACTCACATTGAGCTGGTCAGTGCTGCTTCATGCCCTGACTGGGGGGCGGGGGCTGCGGGACCACAGTGCCTCTTTCAGCACAGCACTGCAGGCCCCTGCTAGTCACACTGAGCCATCAGGGAAGCCCACCTGCCAGTCCCAACTGCTACACTTCATGCCAGGTGTGTGTCCATCTGAGTGGCGGGCACCTCTGTGCCTGGCACTCACATCCTCAGGAGCACAGCAGTGCTGTGTTAGTGGGAGGAGTTGGAGCAGCGTCGTCCTGCAGTGGGGACTGCAGTGGCCCTAGGATGGAGGACTGGCCTGGGAGGAGGTGAAGGTCCTATGCCCTGGGCAGCTCCTCCTCTCCCTGTGCCCACGCCTATGCAGTGCTGTCCCTTCTCCAGGGGAGGCTTGTCACCTTCCCTTTGCTGTCTTCCACCCCAGGATAGGGTCAGCAGCATTTACCCTGAGGACTTGATGCAGATCGTCAGCCACATGGACTCCTTGGACAACCACAGGGTAAGTGGGCCAAGGCCCGTGGCACCCCTGCCAGCCCTGTCTGCCTGGCACTTGCACTCCATGCAGGGTGGGTTTGGGCCTCACTTAGCATGCCCCGAGTGCCTCTGGAGTGCTGGGCCATGAGCCCTGATGGATATGGCACTGGCCCTCCTAGCACCTGCTCCAAGAGGCCTTAGATGGCTGTGCTGGTCATGGATGATGAGTGCTGGGAAAGGTCACAGACTTGGGCTGGGGAGCCAGCCTGGCCTGCCAGCCCTGCACTGGGCAGCAAGGAGCAGGCAGGCATGATCGAGGCTGCTGCAGTGTAGGCTGAGCCATGGCTGGGGACCAGGGCCAGCTGTGGGGACTGAGTTGTCCAGCCAGGGTCCTCCAGGCCCCCTATGACCTGCTGTGTCCTTTCCAGTGCCGAGGGGACCTGACCAAGACCTACAGCCTGGAGGCCTACGACAACTGGTTCAACTGCCTGAGCATGCTGGTGGCCACTGAGGTGTGCCGGGTAAGTGCCTACGGCAGACATGGTGGGGTGGCTGCCATGCCCACACCCAGCGAGGCCCTGATCCTGCCCCAGAAGTTAGATGATGGAACTTTAAGAGTGAACGCACGAAGTCCCGGTTGCATTGTCAGGGCCTTGGTGGTCCCCCAACCCCAACATACAGCAATTCCTTCAATGACAACAGACACCCTGTCCATGGAGTGCTCCCCATGCCCAGCACCATTTTTCTTGCCTGTGTGAAGCTTTGCCGGCCCTCACAGCCCTCTGGGGCAGATGGTGCCCTCCCTTTGATGACTAAGGAGCCTGAGCATAGGCTGTGCGCATGTCTGGGCCTCCCAGACGCAGCCATAGACCTGGACCAGCCCACTGTGGCCAGAAGCTAAGTCCCAAGGTCCTCCCTGCCCCTCTGTTCCTCTGCCCGGTGGCCCCAGCTCCTGCTGTCCCCTGGCAGCGCCGTGCTGAGGTCACCTGCCACCTTCCAGGTGGTGAAGAAGAAACACCGGACCCGCATGTTGGAGTTTTTCATTGATGTGGCCCGGGAGTGCTTCAACATTGGGAACTTCAACTCCATGATGGCCATCATCTGTGAGTGACTGGGCACCCAGGGTGGGACTGCTGCGTGGCCTGCCCCCCAGCCCTGACCCTACTTGCTGTCCTCTGCAGCTGGCATGAACCTCAGTCCTGTGGCGAGGCTGAAGAAAACTTGGTCCAAGGTCAAGACAGCCAAGTTTGATGTCTTGGAGGTAGGCACCTGAGTCCCTGTCACAGCTGCGAGCCGTACCCACTTTGTCCCGCAATGGCTCGAAGGGGGCCCTGACAGTGGGGGTGGGGAGCTGCTGTCCTCTCCCTGTGGTCAGTACCTACCTGCTGGCTGAGTTGGCCTGGCGTGTTCATCCTCCAGCAGTGGGGACTTAAGGTGTCCTCGGTTACTTCAGGCGGACCCGGCATCGCCTAAGGCGAGTTCCAGAGTGGAAGGCGGTTAAGCAAGAATTTGACAAGAGTGGGGTTGTGTTGGAAGACACTGCCTTTTCCTCCTTGGTCAATGTCTCCAGGTCCTGGCTTGTCTAGATGGCCCAGAGGCCGGCAGACAGGATCACCTGCAGCCTTCCTCAGATGTGTGTGATCACAGAGTCCATTTTTGCAAAGCATGTGTCTTGTAGAGCTGATCAGGTCTGGGAGATGTTGATCTAAGTAGAGGAGCAAAGGGAAGTCTCAAAGGAAGGAGGGCGAGGGAGTCAGGCCTGGCAGGCAGGGCAATGACACTTCTTTATGGCTTTCCAGAGGATGCCGGGACCTGAACTCCGAAGCCCTGGCTCCAGAGCTCAGCCAGGCAACCTTGGGCGTCCCCTCCCCTGTGCTAACTCCCAGGCTGCCCAGGGGCCAGGTGCCTTCTCTGTCTGCTGCCTCCTACTCTGCAGAGGGGTGTCTTGAGCAGGTCAGAGGGGCATGGGGCTGCGATGCTCACCAGGTCCTCCCTGTGCCCACAGCATCACATGGACCCGTCCAGCAACTTCTGCAACTACCGCACAGCCCTGCAGGGGGCCACGCAGAGGTCCCAGATGGCCAACAGCAGCCGTGAGAAGATTGTCATCCCTGTGTTCAACCTCTTCGTTAAGGACATCTACTTCTTGCACAAAATCCACACCAACCACCTACCCAACGGGCACATTAACTTCAAGGTGAGCTCAGCTCCATGGGGTCCCAGCACAGGACAGGCCAGGTGGAAACTGTCTTGAGCTACTGGAGCTGCCAGGCAGTAGCCCTGGGTCAGGGTCTGTGGGTTTCCTGAGCCCTGCCTGAGGTTCACAAGGGCCTTCAAGACCGAAAGCCTTATGGTGGGTCAGGGGTGCTGTTTGACTGCGAGGTTTGAGGTGCGCCCGTCTGTACTTCTGGGTGGATGGCTTAGTTGCAGAGCTTGGAGTCACAGGGAATTTTATTTATCCAGGACCCCATGGTTCCAGCCTGGCCCCAACAGGGAGACAGCCCTGTCCACCCCTGTGGGATTGGAATTCAGGAGGGGTTTAGGTAGGAAGGGACTTGAGTAGAGAGGAGGCGGCAGAGAATTCCAGATGGAAGTGAAGAGCCTGCCTGGTGGGCCTGAAGGTACCTGCTGAGGGGGGGGGGGGGGGACATAGGTGGCAGGGCAGGTGTAGGCGGCTCTGGGCTGCCGGATGCCTACCTCACACAGGTGAGGGGTGGGCAGGAGCAGGGATCCCTCTGAAGGTCCCAGAGAAGGGACATCACGACATGTTCTGGTTGGCGCCACTGGGCTGGGTGTGGATGGGGTGCCTGCCTCAGGCTGGAGTCATCAGTAGGGCCTTCTTTGGGTCCCTGCACAGAAAGGCAGAGACCCTGCTGCCGGCCTGATGGCCCAGGTGGAGGGCTAGATAGAGTGGCCTTGGGGGACACCTGCTGGCTCTGAGGCTGCATGGCATGCCACCATGGCCACGGGGTCAGCGTGCAGGGCCACTGTCCCATCTCGCTGGAACCAGTGAAGTGGGCAGGAGACTGAGGCCAAAACCTGCGTCCCCTGCCCTGACCAAGTGTTTGGTGCTTAAGGTGACAGATGAACATCAGTTGGTTTTGCTCCCTTCAGAAATTTTGGGAGATCTCCAGACAGATCCATGAGTTCATGACATGGACACAGGTAGAGTGTCCCTTTGAGAAGGACAAGAAGATTCAGAGTTACCTGCTCACGGCGCCCATCTACAGCGAGGAAGGTGAGGGCTGCCTCCCAATGCAGCATGCCTCCCTCCCCACCTGACTCCTTGTCCAGGCCCGGTGCCCTTTGGGGTTGCCCTGGGAGGTGGCCTGCTGGCTGCTCCCTGCCACACAGGCCTGGCTCTGCTCGCATGGGTGAGTGTGCATGAGGGTGGGTCGTGGGATGGATGGAAGAGAAGGACAAGAGACTCAGTTTCCAGTGGCCACTGGAGAGGGTCACATGGGGTTAGGGCAGGAGCTGCAACACGAGGAACCTTCCTAGAGTCCCCAGCAGGCAGCCTGAGCGCCCCACACAGCAGAGAACTGTGTTCAGCCCAGCCAGAGGTCACTGTCCCCTTGTCCTGGGCTGCACCCTTGAAGGGACAGCTGGGTTCAGGCAGACACTGCATGGGGACGCAGACTCTGAGGGACTTTCCTGTCTTTCAGCTCTCTTCGTCGCCTCCTTTGAAAGTGAGGGTCCTGAGAACCACATGGAAAAAGACAGCTGGAAGACCCTCAGGTAGGAGAGTGCCAGCGACATGGGAGTCTGTGAGGAAGAGGGAGGACTCAGGGTGGGCACAAGGGTCACCCTCCTGGAAAGGGGGCCTGGGCACTGCCGTGTCCCTAGTGCGGGGCTGCCGGACATGTTTGGTGGGAGGCTGAGGATGGCTTAGACCCGCTGCCCTGCTCGGGCCTGAGTGCTGCCTGTCCCCTGTCCCCCTCTAGGACCACCCTCCTGAACAGAGCCTGAGGCGGATGCAGCCCGCGACGCCAGAGGAAGCACGCGCACTAACTGGGTTTAAATTTCGACTGATGTGGGTTGAGATGAGGAGGCCTCACTGGTTGGGGTCCATTTTGTATATAACTTTTATGAGAAAAAAAATGGTAATTATTTCATGCATCAACCTTTGGCACTTACAAAGTTTTTTTGTTTATTTTAAATAACAGGGCAGGGCCCTGCTTTGGGGAGGGAGAGGGGAGAGTATCATGGGAGATGGCATCCATGATAACATCTTATTCTAATGAAATGTAGATTTTTATTTTCTACTTTTGATTATTAACATCTTATGAAAAAAATATTTTAAAAAACCCAACCAAAACCAACGTGAGCCCTGCCTGCTCGGACGCCTTTCCAGCCAGTGTCTCTGACGTCGGGGTTAGTGCCTTAGAGGGTACTGGGGTCTGGTCTTCCTGCTCTGTGGTTCGGGCTGCGGTGAGTCCCACTCCATCTGGGTGCCTGCCCTCAGGAGGGCTGGTGGCTGGGAGGTCACGTCCGCACACTTCTGGAAGTGAGCCTTTGAGTACAGGCTGTCCAAAGTTTACATTTTCATTTTCCTTTCAGGGATTTGTGGGGTCAGGGAGGGGCAGGGGGCACCTGGCAGCATATTTTCTGTGACAATGTGTCCAGCAAATCATTCTTCAACTACATTTTAGAAAGCAGGAAATCTAAAATAAGGGAGGGAAGCATGGAGTTGTCAGTTTTTTGGGCTGCGACTGAAAGACACACTGAGCTGTGATGAAGAAAAATACACGGCTGACTCCAGGGTGGTGACATTTAGAGCTAGCCTTGAAACCTACCTACAGAGGGGAGGGAGCCAACAGCCCTCCTCCCACCTGGGTGGGCAGCGCCCCTAATTGGAATTAGAAACAAAATTCGCCAGGCCATACTGCTGGAGCTCATTCAGATAAAACTGCCCAATACTGAGAGGTGTTTTCTACACCCAGCTAGAGGAGCACACTCCATTTTCCCATGTCTGACTTCCTGGTGTGAGCCCTGGGCACTACTGACCATGGCACAGGACAGCTGTCCTTCAGAAAGCGTGAGGTCCATCCACGCAGACCGTCTCCCTCGCAGGAATTCCGCACCCTCGTCCCTCTCTGCATTCCCGGCTTCTGCAGGAGCCTTGATTAATGGGGAAGCCTGGGTGAGGATGGGCCAGGTCCCAATTCCCAAAGCTCCTGGGAGAGCCTGAAGACACTGGGAGAGGCTGGGCCTGGGGAGGAGGCAGCCCTAGGCCCGCTGCCCATGCCTCTGGTCCTGGGTGGAGCAGGAATAGTTCCACTGTATTGTCACAGTGTGTTTGCACTTTCTGAGGTTCTAGCTAGTACAGATTGTATATTGATAGTACATATTGCTTTGTTTATGTCTTTGAGATGAGAAAGGCTTAAAACTTGAGAATATATATTTGGAATACAGCCTTAGAATGGTTTCTGTACACATCCACGTGCACTTCACGGGTGATCAGTTCTAGTACCTACTTGAAACAGTGTCTATGTTTGCTACTTTATTTTCCCAATTTGATACATACCCTGATTTGATGTTTTGGTATTTAAGATGAACTCTGAGTATGAAGCTGTACCATAATGCAGGATGTCAGTTTTGGTGTGACTGGACATACTTGCTTCAATAAAAGAACACGTCACTCCCCTCCCTTGCCTGCTATGTGTGTATGGTGAGGGAGCAGCCCTGCTGCTGGCTGGAGACGTGGGTCCCCTGGGGCAGGGAGGAGGGTGAGGCTGCCAGGCTTGCTGTGGCCTTCCCAGGAGGGACTGGGCAAGGGACTTTTGTCTCCAGTTGGCAACACTTTCTAACAAAGGGCTTTCCACTGGATAAGGCAAGACTCGAAAAAAGCTATAGGAGGCACATTTAGTCCTACTTTCCTCAATGTGAGCTCCAAAAAGATATCACTGGCTGCTGTATTGCATGGTCGCATGGTCACGTAAGTTCAGGATACCTAGTTAAGCTAGGCTGTATGGGCTGTGTTACTGCAGAGGAGTCAGATGGCCTCTCTGGGGCAGGGGAGGTTGGGGAACCCCTGGACGCAGTCCTGCGGGGCAGCCTGCAGAAAGCAGGTCTGGAGGGGCTGCTTCTGGTGTCATGAGTTATACACAAGAGTAACAGAGAAGAGGGGTTCACTGGGGGGCACATGAGAGCTCGAGAATTGAAGGAAAAGAACTAAGGCTTCAGAACCAGGACATGGTACTCCCTTCTGCTCCTCCAACCTGCCCATTCCCGCGGTTCTCAGGCCCGGACTAGGTGGGGACTGCACCCCAGGGATAACTCAGCTCATCTTTCACTATGCGCTGAGTGTCATCATTCCCACGAGATGAGCACCATCCAACAGAAACCTTTCTGGGGTAAGGGAATGTCCTGTATCTGTGCTGTCCAGTACAGCAGCTGCCAACCACATGTGGGTCCTGTCCACTGGGATGTGGCCAGTGTGACCCAGGGGCTGAATTTGGGATATGAATTTGGACAGCCAGGGGCCCCTGTGTTGGACGGAAGCTGGGCCTTGGGGCCTTGCCACCGCATGCAGTGGGCAGTAAAGGACAGGTGCTCAGGTGTCTGTGGAGGAAATGGGGACATGGATATGATGCTTGAGCTTTTAGTGAATGATATTTTTTAGGTCTTTAAATCCAATGGCATCTGTAATTTCCTGGTGAAGTTATTTTTGGAAGTGTTCATCTGCCTCTTCTGAAGAAGGGGGAGTGCATAATTTGCCCTGGCCTTGGATACAACCTCAAGCTGGGCGGGCCATCCTCTGCCATGGGCAGTGGCTCTCAAGTGTGGGTCCCTGGGAACATGTTTGAATGTCCATTCTTAGGCCCCTCCACACACCTCCTGAACTGGCAACATGGTGGGGGCCTAGTCCAAGCCTTGGGCCGCACAGTACGTGCGAGAAGCACTTGGTGGGTGACAGTCTGTATACCTTGTGACCAGCACATCCCTGTGTGATGGCTGAATGTCACCCTTCACACACGTTTCAGGAACAAATGGATGTCAGAGTGTCAGATGTAGCAGAATAAGCTAAAGATCTGTACTAAGCCATGGAGACTTCTGTGACACACGTTGCTTGTGACACACACCTACTATGCCCATACGTGAACATAGGCCCTGCTACTCAGGGAGGCACAAGGCAGCAGGGAGGGAACAAGGAGCTGGGGAACCTGGAGTGAGCACTGGTCTTCAGCCCCCAGCTGGAGAAGCTTGGACAAGCTGTTCACCTTATAGCCTCCATGTTCTCATTTGATCTCCCTTGCAGGGCTGTGGTGGCAGACAGAGCAGGCACCCGGTTCACTGTCAGCACAATCAGTGCTGTCTGTGGACTGGCCCTGGTGCTGGGGACGCCAAGCAGCACTTCTGCAAAAGGACACAGCACCTTTTGGGAAAAGTGAAGCAAAGTCTTCAAAGAAGCAAAGGCAGACAGAACAGGCACCTGGTCCACTGTCAGCATAGTCGGTGCTGTCTGTGGACTGGCCCTGGTGCTGGGGACGCCAAGCAGCACTTCTGCAAAAGGCCACAGCACCGTTTGGGAAAAGTGAAGCAAAGGCTCCCTTCTCAAAGGAACACCTGGGGTCCTGGTCAATACGAAGCATGTTAGCATTCACTACAGTCACTGTTCAATCCAACCGGCACAGAAATATAAATGGGAAAGAATTCCCACAAATTTGCATTCAAAACTTCAAGAGGCAAAACTTACAATCCATCTGCAGGCCAGTTTAGATGATGTTAACACAATTTCAATCTTTACTCCCAACAAGGAAGTCAAGATACTGTGAGGAAGGTGAGGGGCTGACGAACACCTCACAAGTATCTACCCCACAGCACCAGGATGCTCAGGTGCAGACGCTCAGGTACGGCTCTACAGCAGCAGGGCCGAGTGGTTCAGCAACAGTACAGGGAAGAGTGTAAGAAAGTAAACTGCATCACTTGTCCATTTCTGGCAGTGTGAGAGATGAAGTGCGTGCCCACTGAAAATGATAGATAAAGTTGTACCAAATTTAAAAATCCAAGTGAAGGCAGGGAGCCAGAGAAGTCAGGGAAGCTCTGGAGCCTGCTTTGCCAGAGGGTAAGGACCATGAACTTCTGTTTTCAAGTCCACAGGGGTAGAGAAAAACGTCCAGGGCCTGCCTCAAGATGAAGAATCAAATAGGAGACCCCAGCCCATAAAGCTGGCATCTCAAAGAGCCACCCCTCAGTGCAGCCGTGAGCTTGAAATAAGGCGCTCCACCCAAACCCCACCGAGGGAGCTAGGAAAAGCTCCCTGATTTGAACCTCAGCACTGAATGGAGGCAGGGAAATTTTACCTTGATAATTGATAACGATGAATCAGTGAGCTTCACAAAATTTTGCAGCACAAATCAACACTGGTCCAACAAACTTTAAGCTGAGAATTCTTTGAACTGGCCCTGAACCTGTACTGCCCGTAAACATCCAGTAGAAACAAACATTCTGACCTATATTCCAGTTTTTAAAAAAAATCTCCTTAGCTGTGTCTAATTTTGTTCAACCCATCTGTTGGATTTAAAAAATTCAATTATTGTAGTTTTCATTTCTAGATGCTCTATTTGGTTCTTTTCCAAATCTGATCATAATTCTGAAGAAATTACCAGAATCTAACACATAAAGCATTGGAAAACAAGAAACAGGTTGAGACATGGAGGGCACAACAGTTTTAACATGTTATCAGAGTTAGAGAAGCAAAGAGAGAATGAGGCAGAAATCATTTTTGAAAAGAAAACAGCTGAGAATTTTTCAGAGTAACAATCCAAGGAACCCAAAGAATCTTAAGCAGGACCAGAAAAAAAACAAACCCACACACAGATGTATCATAGTGACACAGAACAGAAAAGAAGAGAGTGGATTGCTTTCAATGGATGATGGCTGTTACGCTGATGATTCACAGCAAAAATAACTGAAGCCAAGAGACAGTGGAGTAGTAACTCAAATGTGCTAAAAAGACAAATAATGGCCAATTTAGAATTCTCTACTTTTTAAAACTATTTATTAAATGAGAGATAATAAAGATATTTACAGACAACTCAATGGCGTTTGCTATCCACAGACCTTCCCTAAAAGAAAAACTAAAGGATGGATCTTGACTCTTACTGCAACCCATATACAAAACGATTTCCAGATGGATCACAGACCTAAATATGAAAGGCAATGCAATGAAGTGTCAAAAAAAGAATTTAAAAAATTCTGGAGTAGGAAAGGTTTCTTAAATTGGACACCAAAATCAGTAGCCATAAAAGAAAATTGGTTTTTATTGAAATTAAGAACTTTTGTTTACTGACAGATAACATTAACATACTGAAAGAGAGGCCGTTGCTAGGAGAAGGTATGTGTAATATGCAAATCTGACAAAGGACTCAAATTCAGAATTCAGAATTAACCCCTACAAATCAACTAAAAAAAAAAATCAAACTTTTTTTTTTTAAAAAGGCAGAAAAACTTCAACAGGCATTTCACAAAAGAAGATATCTAAATGGCCAATAAGTATATGATGAGGTACTTGATATCATTCCTGGATTATAAACTAAGATGAAAAGAACTGTACACACCCATTAGAAATTATAATTAAAGAGTTTAAATTAAAAACACTGGAAATACTGTGTTGGGGAGGATGTAAAGCAACTGATCTCTCATACATGGCTGGTAAGGGTTATTTAAAAGGATTGAAAAAAATCTGCCCACTCCTGGCAAAACTGATCAAGAAAAAATAGCATAAATATATCAGGAATGAGAAAAAAAGGATATCACTATAGATCTTATACATATCACAGAGATAATAGGAGAATATTGATTTCATCTGAATTTTCAAATTTATCAGTATAAATTCCTAGAAAATTACGATTTACCCAAAATAACTCAATGAAAGCTTATTCTACAAAAAATAGAAAGTCTGAATAGTTACATAATTACTAAATAAATTGAACAACTGATCAAAAATCTTCCCAGATAGAAAAGTTCATGCCCAAGTGGCTTTCAGGCAGTTCTTCCAGGCAGTTCCAAATATTCAAGGAAGAAATTTATTCTAGTTTTACAAAACTTTTTTAGAAACAGAGTAAGAAGGAACACTTGTAACTTAGTTTATAAGCTAGTATAACCTCAACAGAAAAGCCTAATGAGGGCCAGACATGGTGGCTCACACCTGTAATCTCTGCACTTTGGGAGGTCAAGGTGGGAAGATCACTTGAAATCAGGAGCTCGAGACCAGCCTGGACAACAAACCAAGACCCTGTCTCTACACACAAACAAACAAAAACAACAACAACAACAAAAATGAGTCAGGTGCAGGGGTGTGTGCCTGTGGTCCCAGCTACTTGAGAGGCTGAGGTAGGCGGATCACTTAAGCCCGGAGGTTGAGGCTGCAATGAGCCATGATTGCCCCCACTGCACTCCAGCCTTGGAGACAGAGCAAGATCCTGTCAATTAAAACAACAAATAAATAAACAAAAATGCCCAACAAGGAAGAGAAAGGGAAGTCATAGGCAATCTCATTCATGAACATAGATTAAAAACACCTGAAGTATATACATACCCACACTCCCGACATGAATACATATGAGATGTGTAAATGTGAATACTTACATGTGTGTATATGTAAGCAAACCAAATCAAACAATGTAAAATAAAAATAACACA